AACCATTCATACACGCACCAGACTCATTCTAGGCAATGGGGGTGAAGTGTCTTGCCTAAGGACACAACAGCAGTTTGGCACTTTACAGCTGCAGCCGCCCCACTGTGGCTGGTGTTCCCAGAGGTTAAGTGTCTTGCCAAGGACACAACGACAGTAGTCAGTGGGAGTCGATGGTGAAAGTCTTGAGTGGGGCTTGAACCCACAACCTTCTGGCTCAAAGGCCATACAGAGCGTTTAGTCAATGGTGTGTGTGTGTGTGTGTGCGCGCGCGCGCGCTTGTGCTTGTGTGTGCATTTTTAAGATTTACTACAGCAGCTCAAAATACGTTATATTTTTATTATTGCTGTTATTATGTTGGCAAATTCTACAGCTGTGTATACAAGAATACATTGAATTGAATTATTAAATGGCTTGACAAACTAATAAAAAACATTATGTGTTTTACTACAGATGTTCAATAGAACAGTTTTATATCCATGGATTCATGCATGTGTTTTTCTTTTTCTTTGTGTATCTTATTAATTCCACTTTCGACACAATATGATCTTGAGGCCTTTTCCTTCCAATAAAAGCCTAGTCAGACAAGGACACCGCGCGGCTCACAGGTACACATACTACTTTAACAGCTTCAGCTCATGTGTGACAAGTTTGAACTAAGAATATTCACAATTGTATCTTTGATGATGCGCTAAGTTCATAATTATTGTCAGTATGTGTCAACGTGTGTCCAGGCGTCTAATGAACCTCGTGAAGTGTTTTCTCACTTTGAGTTCTTTCCATTCTCCCGCATTCAAAACAGCGATGCGCACATAATCTCCCTTTTAATGCTTTTTTCCAGAATTTTTCAAAAATTCTGGAAAAATTGTTTGATAGCAGGCTTGAAACATTTATCGATAAACACAACATAATCCATGAAAGTCAGTACGGGTTTAGGAGGAACAGATCATCAACAATGGCTATAATTGAAGCAGTGGAGGAAATCACACAAGCCTTAGACAAGAAGAAATATGCAGCAGGGATATTCATAGATCTCAAGAAAGCACATTAAATCATAGTATACTAATCAATAAACTGGAATTATATGGAATAAGAGGAATTGCCCACAATTGGATCAAAAGCTACCTAACAGACAGAACGCAGTTTGTGAAAATGGGAAACTACACTTCTGGATACTTGAGCATAGCTTGTGGTGTTCCTCAAGGGCCTCATTAGGACCAAAATTGTTTAATTTATATATTAACGACATGTTTAGCATTTCCAGTTCACTAAAGATGATCCTGTTTGCGGATGATACTAATATTTTCTATTCAAATAATGACTATACCAATCTTATTAATACAATTAACTCGGAGCTAGCCAAATTAAAATCATGGATGGATGCCAACAAGCTCTCTCTGAATTTAAGCAAAACGAAAGTTATGATGTTTGGCAACTACAAAATCAAATCAGATTTATTTATAAACATAGATGGTGTCAAAATTGATAGGGTGTCTGAAAACAAATTTCTAGGTATAATAATGGACGACAAATTGAACTGGAAACCCCACATCAGACACGTACAGACCAAGATCTCAAAATGCATTGCAATAATAAATAAAACCAAATATATCCTTGACTATCATGCTTTGAATTTATTGTATTGTTCGCTTGTGCTGCCCTACTTAAACTTTGGTATTGAGGTGTGGGGAAACAACTATAAAAGTCTACTACATCCCCTCAAAATATTACAAAAACGTGCAATAAGAACAATCAACAAAGTGGGCTATCTCGATCACACTAATGGTTTATTTTTAAAATCAAAACTCTTAAAATTAGAAGACCTGGTTAATCTTAACACTGCACAACTGCTGTTTAGAGCTAATTCAAAAACTCTACCAGCCAATATTCAAAAGACATTTATTAAAAAAGAATATGAGCGTAACTTGAGAAGATGTAGTAACTTTAAACTCCCAGCCGTCGGGACCACAAGGAGGAGTTGGTGTGTATCTGTCTGTGGGGTGAAGCTCTGGAACACCCTGAGCCAGGAGCTGAAGCAGTGCTCAAGTATCCAGCAATTCAAATCACATCTTAAAAAGATGATATGGACAAAATATGAGAGAGAAAAATACTAACAAATCACTACAGGGTCAATAGTAACTGTTTTGGGTATTACCAGTATGGGTATAAGAGCATTCATGATCACCATTAAAATAAAATACATAAAATAACAGGGTTACATATGTAGTTATGTATATGAAAACAGGTATATGTATGTTGTTGTGTGTGTGTCTGTATAGAGAACATTTAATATTTAATTTGTAGTTATGTATGTGATAATATGTGTATGTCTGCTTGTATGTTTATATTTCTGTATAGAGAACACTTAATATTTTATATATTGGTGTACTAAATGTAGAAATACGTGTGCAGCAGTGATTGGTGTTGCTTTGGTGGGCATTGGCGGAGTCTCTTAGGCTAGTTCTGTGTCTCGGGAGGTGGTTTCTGTGGTGGTGGCTGGTGGTGTGGAGGGGCAGTGGACCCATGTCATAGTGGCGTTCTGTGGACACGCAATCAGGAATGACCTCACTGTCTAGAATCCATTTGGACATGCAAAAGAGTATGAATTGAAAATAAAATATGAAAAAAAATATATATATATATGTGTAAAAGAACAAAAATTAAAGAAAGTATCTTCTGCCTGAAGGTGGAGCTAGGACAGTCACGGTGGTGATAATCGGCTCTATCCAAGGTAAAGAAACTGTAGAATTAATCAAATGCCTTTTCATTTGAAAGAATAAAACAATGGTATGAATGATCAGTGAGGTGGTTGCTCATGGTGTAGTTGGAGCCTGCTGTGCGTTGGACTATTGTTCCTCTGCATGATTGGTCTACTGCTGTGGCGGCTGCTTCTTGTGACTGGAGTTGGCCTGAGTTGGGGCGCTGGGCCTTGCTGGGGCACAGTGATCACTGTTACAGATGTAACTTTATAAAAGTATTAAATCGCACTGAACACGAGAAATTATTATTAAGGTATTATTTATTCAATGCTAAATAACAACATTCTTGCATGTTTTTGAATTATGTTTATGGGGTGGGAGTCGACAAGTTTTTACTTCCTTCCCACTCCATTTTGAGCTGACAAATTGTAAATAGAGGTTCATTTGTGTATTGATATTGCGATGTATAACACATGGTGTAACTAGGGAAACTATTGTTGCTTGATTGTATAGTTTGTTTGCATATTTCTATGTATAAGTATAAACTGTAAGCACAGCAGGCAACATGTATGTATAAAGAATCATCTAAGGAATGTAAATATTGTAAATACTTATGATTGTAAAATTTCTGCTCGAATGAATAAAAAATCAATCAATAACGATAAAAAAAAATGCCCACCATGCACAGTTCTTTACTTCATTGGTACCACACATACGGCGGGCCAGAACCTGTCACATTTCTGAAACTGGGCATGGTCACAAAGGTATTCACAAACTAACTAGGCCAAGTGGCTCGGATCGTCACCACAGGGGCGTGAAGACGGACCAAGGTTAGAATGGTTTCTTTTTTTCAATCGTGCCAGCCCAAATGTGGTTTAGTACAACGCTCAATCCAGCTGGTGGCGCTAATACTAACTTCAGTAATTATCTCTTCACCCGTGTTAAAGGCGCAGTAAAGGATTCATGTTACCCTGGCAGTAGCATCTGAGTAGCAAAAAAACCCCACTGCCCCTGCCCTTTAGCAAACCCAACTCCCAGCACACATGAACGCCGTTTCTGTAATATGCAGTCTGTGACGAAGCCTCCCAGCTTGAAATGTGAAAGCATTACAATACATTAGGGCTCAAGTCTGTGAGTGATTAGCCAGCCATACTTGACAAGCATTGGTTCCCCTAACAAACTAGCAATTAGCAAAACTCAACTACCATTGCATTGCCCATATATCACATGTATGTATATATTTTTTTTTTAACAAGGCTTCTTGACATGTTTAAACTGTTTTGTGGAGACTCCACTGAAACACAGATCATCTATTGATCACAATGTGTTGCTTTGTGTACAACCAATAAACATGTGTTTCCATCAAACATAAGCCCCTGGTCTGAGTCCTCACCAGAACCACAATGGTCAGCACCAAAACCCAGCAGAAAGGCGGACTTTCTGTGGATTTATGCATTGATCTGTGCTTTAAGCAAGATTTCTGATTTTTTTTTGGGCTATTTTGTGTTAAACTTTGTCAAACACACATAGTTAGCATACACACCAATCGTGGTAAACTGCAATATTGATTACAAAAAAACAGATCTAAAGTGTTACTAATACTTGTTCATACAGTAGATTTATTTTCAAATAACAACAACTATATAAGTTTAAAGCTAGAGAAACTAACTTTCAAAACACATATTTGACTGGTTTTATTAAGTCTAACTATTTTCTAGGTTCTAGCCCCAGTCACATCTTTAGGCCAGCTTTTTAACATGTAAAAGTGAAAAGAAGAGGAACACCCTCACTCAACCAACCAGCTCATAAGACATCACAGGGATCTTTCTTGCTAGTTCTCAAAATAATGTTTGTAAGACAAATGTTGTGGCTGGATCTGTTCACAACTTTTTACTTTTACAAGACTTCTTGTTGGGGTAAACAAATCATTCATATTTACCAACAAAAATGGTACCCTAGCTTTAAGTTGCAACTATCTCTGCAGGAAACCACTATAAAATTAATGTGGTAAATCTGCTTTCTGGGAAGATCCTACAATAATAAAGATTCTTGGATCTTCAGCTTGTCCCTCTGTGGGAATGGACCCTCTCTTAATGTCTCAACCTTTTCTCAGGTTTTTCACCTTTTTTCACACTGGGATGTTCCTTGTCGATGCAGGACAGTGATGATCTGGGACATTTAGGGTCCAATGGACATTTATAAATATTTATCGACAGTGGTCATCCCGCTCCCTGGACAAAAGACTCCTGTGTCCATCCATCCATTTTGGATGGATGCTAACGCTAGCCTCTTTCCTGGCTGACGTCAGCTCCTGCGAATGCCCAGGCAGAGCTGTTGGAGAGCTGCGATCACAGGCGGGACTCCTGGTGTGAAGTTCTGCTTCATTTCTCTCTTGATGAATTCATCGAGCGTGCAGCGGCTCGCCGTCTTCCTGCGAATCCTCCACCAGAGCAGTGCATTAGCATACATCTGCATAGAGCTGTGGAGGCGACAGTCCTGTGCTAGCTCTGGCACCAAACAAACGTTTCCACTTCATACACGATGTCACTCAAAAGTTAGCTGTCGTAACGGACTTTACCCTCCAGAAAAAGATCACATTACACCTGTGGTCCTCGACTGCAACGTGGCGGGACCAGTGCGGGCGGGTCCCGGCTCAAAAGTGGCCAAAATGACGTGCGATGACATGCTTGCAATACCACTCTGGGTGGACCCGGAAAAAGAATTAGCCAATGCTAACGTATCGCATCTTCTTACCTCTCTAAAACGTCTTCATAGGATGGTCCAAAAGTTGGTTCTTGGCCCAATGCTCCGTTCCACATGTGTCAATGCTGAGGGGAGTGAATTTTTTTGGACCACTCGAGTTTGAGCCAAAGCAAATTCCTAGTTTGTGACTTCCTGTCACTTACAATGGCAATACAATAAATTTTGATTCTGATTATTTATATATATATATACAGTGAGGCAAAAAAGTATTTAGTCAGCCACCGATTGTGCAAGTGCTCCCACTTAAAATAATGACAGAGGTCTGTAATTTTCATCATAGGTACACTTCAACTGTGAGAGACAGAATGTGAAAAAAAAAAATCCAGGAATTCACATTGTAGAATTTTTAAGTAAATTATGGTGGAAAATAAGTATTTGGTCAATAACAAAAATTCAACTCAGTACTTGCCTTTGTTGCCAATAACAGGTCAAACGATTACTATAGGTCTTTACCAGGTTTGCACACACAGTAGCTGGTATTTTGGCCCATTCCTCCATGCAAATCTTCTCGAGAGCAGTGATGAGCAACACGGACTTTCATCTCCCTCCACAGATTTTAAATGGGGTTGAGGTCTGGAGACTGGCTAGGCCACTCCAGGACTTTCAAATGCTTCTTACGGAGCCACTCCTTCGTTGCCCGGGCGTGTTTGGGATAATTGCCATGCTGGAAGACCCAGCCACGTTTCATCTTCAAAGCTCTCACTGATGGAAGGAGGTTTTGGCTCAAAATCTCACGATACATGGCCCCATTCATTCTTTCCTTAACACCAATCAGTCGTCCTGTCCCCTTAGCAGAAAAACAGCCCCAAAGCATGACGTTTCCACCCCCATGCTTCACAGTAGGTATGGTGTTCTTGGGATGCAACTCAGTGTCCAAACACGACGAGTTGAGTTTATACCAAACAGATCTACTTTGGTTTCATCTGACCACATGCCATTCTCCCAATCCTCTGCTGTATCATCCATGTGCTTTCTGGCAAACTTCATGGACATGCACTGGCTTCAGCAGGGGGACATGTCTGGCACTGCAGGATTTGATTCCCTGTCGTCGTAGTGTGTTACTGATGGTAACCCCTGTTACTTTGGTCCCAGCTCTCTGCAGGTCATTCACCAGGTCCCCCCGTGTGGTTCTGGGATTTTTTATTACCGTTGTCATGATCATTTTGACCACACGGGATGAGATCTTGCGTGGAGCCCCAGATCGAGGGAGATTATCACTGGTCTTGTATGTCTTCCATTTCATGATAATTGCTCCCACAGTTGATTTGTTCACACCAAGCTGCTTGCCTATTGTAGATTCACTCTTCCCAGTCTGGTGCAGGTCTACAATTCTTTTCCTGGTGTCCTTCGACAGCTCTTTGGTCTTGGCCATAGTGGAGTTTGGAGTCTGACTGTTTGAGGCTGTGGACAGGTGTCTTTTATACAGATAATGAGTTCAAACAGGTGCCATTAACACAGGTAACAAGTGGAGGACAGAAGAGCTTCTTAAAGAAGAAGTTACAGGTCTGTGAGAGCCAGAGATCTTCCTTGTTTGAAGTGACCAAATACTTATTTTCCACCATAATTTACAAATAAATTCTTTACAAATCCTACAATTTGCATGGAGGAATGGGCCAAAATACCAGCTACTGTGTGTGCAAACCTGGTAAAGACCTATAGTATATATTTTCCACCATAATTTACAAATCAATTCTTTAAAAATCCTATAATGTGAATTCCTGGATTTTTTTTTTTCACATTCTGTCTCTCACAGTTGAAGTGTACCTATGATGAAATTTACAGACCTCTGTCATTATTTTAAGTGGGTAAACTTGCACAATCGGTGGCTGACTAAATACTTTTTTGCCCCACTGTATATATAAATAATATATAAATTTTATTATTATTATATCAGAATGTGCAATAACCACATGTCACTGTCACTTTACTGAGTCCCTGTGTCTCAGAACATCATGCTGCCAATGTACAGATGTAAACATACTGCTGCTAATGTACAGATGTAAACATACTGCTGCCAATGTACAGATGTAAACATACTGCTGCTAATGTACAGATGTAAACATACTGCTGCTAATGTGCAGATGTAAACATACTGCTGCTAATATACAGATGTAAACATACTGCTGCTAATGTACAGATGTAAACATACTGCTGCTAATATACAGATGTAAACATACTGGTGCTAAAATGGACAGATGTAACACACACTGTGGAACGAATAAAGAATCTCTTAATCTTAATCTGATGACTGCAGTTTTCAGGGCCTTTGGGAATATTCCAGAAATAAGGGATATGTTTACTGTCTTTGTGAGTGAAGGTAACAGACTGCTCAGAACATCTGTTTATGTAACATGTTTGTATAATTGTACTTTTGTATGGATGATACTTGTATTTCAATCTTGTCTAGCATTCTTTTAAAAATGAAATAAATGTTAAGTTAAAGAAATCACTTTATAGGCCAAAGTAAAGCTGCCTACATTTCTATTATCTTAACTGGGCTGAGTGGATAGCTCTCTCACTTCTCACCAAGAACGTCCTGGGTTCGAATCCCGGTCAGAACAGGGCCTTTCTGGATGGAGTATGCATGTTCTCCCTGTGTCTGCGTAGGTTTCCTTCAGGTACTCGGGTTTCCCCTACCACTAAAAACATGCATAACAGGTATGAATGTAATGGGTGAGTGAATAGATGGTGTTGATTGGGGCTTTGATGCGTCAATGTGTGTGGTGCAAGCCTTGGTGATCCAAGATGGGGCCCTATTCAAATGAATGGCTTGTGCTCAGTAGCGCATGGGACTTCACGGGGACCGGGAGATTAGCTGAACTCACCTGTATTTGGGCATCGTCTGGTCCTCCCGGTTCTGCGCAGTAGACGAGCTCCCATGATGCGTCGTGTCAAATGCGCGTGTGTGGCTCATGCACGCGCACTGAGGTGCTCGGCTGCGCTCTGACCAATCAGCACTGCTGATCAGAGCGGGAAGGAAAGGAGCAGAGTTTGTGGCAGTAAAGTTTGGTTTTAAAGAAAACCCAAAGGATTTAAGATGAAAAAAGTTCAGGATGACAAGGGACACTAAAATCCCCACAAAATCCGATATTTATGAAAGCTGTAGCTTCTCTGTCAGCTAAGGTCGAGCTGTTTTAATTTACATTGAGTTCTGTAGGACTTTTTTCTGGATAGTCCTCGTGAATTTAGTTTGCAGTACCACAGGCGCCCCCTGTGCCCGTAGGTGAGACAGCTTTAAGCTAGCACTACCCTATCCAGTTATTGTTATAGATCCATGGTGTGGTGTCTTATTTACGTCATCACTGTATGGAGGGAATTAAACAATATCTGAACTCTGAACATTGTAAAGGGCTTTGGGTGACCTTGGTCTGTAAAAATACCCTATATAAATAAAGAACTTACTTAACTGACTTCTTTGTGGCAAACACCAAACCCTTCTTTGTTAACATTGCTCCTCCGCCATCCTGCAGACTGGGCGTGGCCATGAACCTTTCCCTGTCCCACAGCGCATCAAACAGTGTGATTAGCAGTCTGTCTAAAGAATATCACAGGAGCCTAAGTGAGGTTTGAAATGCAGATGTGAAGTATTTTTATCCTGCTGAAGCGACGGCTGTCTGAGTGGCACGACCGTCGCCATTACAGATGTATGCAAATACACTCTGCTCTGGCACGCACAGGACACGCAGAGGGATTCAGGAAGACAACGTCATCTTTGCCTTTTTATATTCTGAAAGTAATTTGTGCTCAACAGAACTCCATAGAACCCAGACATTAAAAATATTTGTGAAAAAAATGGCATGCTATTTTCTTGCCAATGGGGATGGGTCAAATAAAAAAAAGAGCATTTAATGACCAAATAAAAAACACTTTGGGTATTTGGTTTAGTTGTGCAATTTTATATTTACTCTTTTAATGGTGATCAATATTATGTTAAAGCCTTGTGTGACTGTCCCTTTCATTAATTTTTTTTTATTTTCATTTTGAAATTTTTACATAGAAGTATTTTTTTTCTTTATTTTTGTATTATCTCTTTCTGACTGTTGCACCGAGCCAAAGCAATTTCCAAGTCTGTGACCTCCTGTTACTTACGTGGCAATAAAAATGATTCTGATTCTGATTGTTCACTGCAAAAAATGACACAATATGACTTAATAAATGCTTGAATCAAGTGGATTTTATCTTAATTTGACTGCCTTAAAACAAGATTAGCCAATGGGACAAAGCCATTTAGTCTTATTTCAAGAACTGTTGCATTATTTTCTTATTCCAAGGCAGTTATTCCTTGTACATATTTCAAAACAAGATATTTTTGCTTTGTCCCATTGGTAAATCTTGTTTTAATGCAGTCAAATTGTGCTCAAATTAAGATACATTTGGCCAAATTTGAGCAATGTTTTACTTTTTTTTCATAGTGTTTTGTTAAGCACTTTGTGTGTGAATTACATATAAACTTGCTTTGCCTTGCCTTTTGACATAATTGCTGTTGCATATTTGTGACCAAGGGTGCCACAGTGTTAAATATTGCTCTGTGTGACTACATAATGACACTAATCAAAGATATTTTCCCAATATTTTAGTGATACCTGTATCTTTACTTCCTTGCATTCAAGCTGCCATTCCACCGACAATCCCTGATTATGGATCGCTCCGCCTCCCCACGTCAAAACAGCCCACTTTCTCTTTTTCTCCGGCTTTTAACACCGCATGGTCCTCTGTGTTTTTGTATCGTGTCATTGATTTTATTTCTCTCTGCTCTCAAGTTATATAATTGTTTTAAACCCGTGAATTTGGAATTTGTTGTTCATGAATAAATAAATAAAGTGGATTTTTACTGTATTGTAATTGTACAGTTGGTGCAGTCCAAAGACAGCTTCAAATGAGCGCCAACCAGAAATCTGAGTATTTATTAATTACAGACAGTGAGAAGTGTTTTAGAGAGTGCTGGTAATACCAGAACACCAGATATATCAATGCAATAAAAGTTTAAAACCTTGTAATATTACACTCTTTGGCTTTGTTGACGATCCCTCATTCACTGAGCTTTAGGGATTCAAGCAACTAATCAATCATCAAAAGAATAATTGTTAAGTACAGTTTAGAGAATATGAATAAAATGTCTCACCTATACAGTAAATACGATTAAAGATTCTATTTTTATCCCACAGTGAGAAAATGAGAAGCGCACATCACCGCACCATAAGTGAACAATACCTGACTGATATAATCTCTATCTTTAGCATATTAAAGAAGCAATTATCAAGTTCTGTATAAACTAAATAAATGTGGCATGTTGCATTAAGCTTCTTTACACTTCTTGTTCTTATTACAGATCTTATTATACATCAGAAAATACTGTAAATATGTATATGATTGTAACCATATGTATGTATATAGATATATATATATTTATATATGCACATTTTTTAAAAGACAGCATGTAAAGTGTGAAGCAACAAAAGGGGCAGATATTATAAGACTTGTTCTTCTCCTCTGCTCCGTTTCATTCATGCTATGTTGGATTGGCGGTCTTGTGGTGATTGCATGATGTCACTTTTGAATGAATGAAATAAATAATAATAAATAAAAAATAAATAAATTAAAGAACCTTCTAAGCCTTGACTGACTGCAAAAAGTGTATAAGCTAAAACAGATAAGTGACATTAGAAACATATCAAAATAGCTAACAATTTGCTCTAGAAGTAGTAGTTTTGTGCAAAGCCAGATCTAAGTTTCACCCTTTCTTGAGCACATTTTTTCAAGTGCACTCACTATAACAGAACGTGATGAAGATTGTAAATCGAATGATACTATATTTTGACAACATTTCAAATCGGAGATATCTGTTTTTGCATATGAACTCTTCAAACACAGACAAGTGTTTGCGATGAAAGAAATGGAGAAGGAGGAGGCACTCTGAAAACTCTGTGCTGATTTCAAGGCGTCATGGGAACACCACGTGACCATGCAATATTTACAAAATACATCAATGAAAATATAATAAATTAAATTAAATACCAGAGCAACAAAATAAGTCAGGCTAGTGTTGTTTGCTCATGCAGGCTTAAGATACTTAAGATAATATTACTTGTTATAAATATTTTTCTTCTCGTTTCAAGTGGAGACATCATGATCCACTGGTATGTACATTACCTGTTTTTTTTAACCACTTTTTACAGTGTTACTGTATATTCCAGTGCAAGAATTAAGCAGTTGTACGTATACATCTGTACATGTTAGCAGCATGAGGGTATGGGCCGGATGCAACTTTGAGCGGGTAAATGAGAGGCTCCAATCAAATCAATGTTCTTTAAAAAAGCCGGTTTTGCATAACAACTTACGTCAGGTTTATTCTTGGTTCTTGGCACATAAAAGTAGGTTATACTAAGTGCACCACACACGAGGAGGCCTTTATACACTGGGAAAAACACACATGCCGCCAAACATGCTGCAGCAGCTGTGGCTCCTGGAGACCAATTGTGCACCCTTCTTTGAAACCCCATGTTTACATCATTTCCAAAGGATAAAAGCACATTATAAACGTGTTTGCCATTTCCAATCCTTTCTGCGGAGCTCACATGTTCCTTATGCATTCACACATTTCAAGGTTTCTCCCTTCTGGCGTGCATAGCTATCAAAACATGTCCAACCCGGGCGCAATGTGAGATTTTGTTTTGTTTGTGTGCAAGCGTCAGCAGCTCCAAGACACGTTGTAAGTTCAGAGAAAAACACACAAGGAAGAAGGGTGCTACGAGTCTCTGGCGTTTTGACCTGGAGTGTTGGGACGTTCCCTGGCTGGCGGTAACAAGGCGGCGAATGCAAAAGGAGCCCGTGCGTTGGCCTCACAAGCTTTCATCTGCGCCGCTTGTTTGTTCTCTCGCATTATTACTGTCCTGGAGAGCGGAGCAGAGCTAACATATGTAATATGAATGGGGAGGGAAGGAGAGGGTATGTACACAAACAGGAACGGTTGTTTTTGCAGACTGTAGACGATTGTGTTGGGTTGTGAAGATGTACAATGATATAACAAAAATAGGGAGACGTATTTTTTTTAAGGCATGGATATCATGCCAGCTATACACAGAAGAAAAAGTACATTTTCGGTCAACTACAATACAATTTGAAGTTTTCCGGCCAATCCGTAGGTAATCAACAGTCCAGGTTGATTTGGTTAGAGTTAGGGCTATGGTTAAAGTTAGTGCTTGGGTTCAGAGTTAAGAATAGGGAAAAGGTTAGGGTTAATTACTTGGTGATATCACAATTTGGACCATAAAGTTTACTAGAACCAAAATTCAGTTAATTCTCAAGCTGCAATTCCACCACCACCGCATCCAAACGCAATGTCCATTGCGTTTTGGAACGTACCTCCATTAAAACTTATTAACAAATTACTTTGCTTATGTAGACGGCAGTAGCTCAGTTGGTAGAGCATTGGCCCTTGAGCCAGAAGGTCATGGGTTTGATCATGCCACATTTGTTAAATGTACTTAGTCACCTTGCAAGTGCCATTGATATTGATATATTTAGGATTTTATTTTACATACACACATATATATATATATGATGTATTTATACTATAGCTGAAAACTAGCAAAAATGTTTCTATACACATTACACATCAACTGATAATCAGCTAATGTGTACACATTACACGTTACAAATTAGCGGATTAGTGGATAGCACTCTCGCTTCTCAGCAAGAAGGTTCTGGGTTTGAATCCCGGTCGGATTCAGGGTAAATGAGTGTGTGTTTGTGAGTGCGACTGTGGGTCAACAGATGCAGATTAGCCCATGGCTACAATCCAGAGTGATGTGTTCATTAACATGAACAATAAACAATAGAATAAAATAAATAAACACAGTCTCATATTCATAATAAATATATAAGGTGTATATGTCACCTGCATGATTCCATGAAACACAACTGAGATCATCAGAAACCCAAGCGCAGAGACATATGTTTGATATTATGGCGCTGACAGGTCTCAGATGTGTGAAGGTGAAAACAGCTGACAGTCACACATTGTCTACATAGCAGTGATACAAACATGAAAAAATTGAGGAAAACAGGTGAATTACAACATGATTATGCCATTCATTGGGTAATATTCACATAACAAGGAAGAGGATTTACTCTGTAAAAAATACACCACTCGTTCCATCAATGTGAAACAGAATCTAAAATAAATAAAACAGATGTTTCAGTCTTATTTCGCCAACTGCATTTGGGCTTTTAAAATCTTTCAAGAGCGTTTGATTAGAACTTAGAGATTTACATTTGGTGGAGCTGAAGTTTTCTGAATGATAATTACTTACTTTCTAGATACTAGATATCAAACATCTAAATAACTCGCCCTAGATACTCAATGATACACTGGATAATCAAAGTGTTTTACCCGTTTATGTTCACTCCTTGAAGAAAGCAATGCACATTTTTCTTTTTTCTCCTAAGATTCAGAAGCACTGAAAACACATAGTTTTTTTACCCT